TCACCTTCGAAGCTGGTAATTCGTAACTTTCAAAGGCTTTGGTAGCATATATCCTTCTGTGTAGACCTTGATTATGCAACCAGGTGTTTCTGACGTCTTTAACCATGGGTAAAGTTCTTTTTCGTCTTGTTATCGACTGACTCAAAATGACGAGACACATGTTCCCCATTCCTCTTCTGCTATGCAGTTTTTTCAAATATAAAACACCCGTCCCTATAGACCCAGACAAGTGATAGTTCGACCATCTTCAACGAAAACGTCCACTGCAGACTTACACCGTTGCCTCAACAGTGATGACTTGGTCGTGAATGTGTTTGTTAGGAAACCCTTTCGCCGCGTCTATATCCTCTCCTCACACCTACCGTGTCCCAATGACAAAGCAGACTAGATGGAAGAAGAGGATGCGATGACTTATTAGCCCGATGTTACAGATTCTCGCTCAAAAACATCATCAGAGACGGTTGTTTGGTTGGTCTTCCTTTGGAGTATCAGGGACGGTCGCATATAAGGGTGGTAAAGGCACAAGGAATGCCATACTTACAGGACGCAGTTGTCGTGCCTATGTCAACAGACCTCACGTTCATCATTGTAGGTCGTATATGATGCGATGACTGCTCGTTAGTCCGCATCCGAATAGTAAGTGGTCAACATTTTATACCCGTTGTTGATTCTTGGAGTGATGATTACTCCGCCTCCACACTCTGTTATCTCCTCGTGGTTATCTAACGCATCTCCCACTATAGTGCATCTAACACACTTAAGACTTAAGACGTTTTAATAGTCATGGCCTAGAAGACCGCCAGGTGAAAACTAACTCGGTTCTGCTTCGTTACGTTCACTATCCTCACGGCGTGGTCAATCCATGGAAGTTACCTTGGCTTGAACATCGCATAGGTTGTGAACATGCAAGTTCATTAGATAGGTATCCGTAGTCCGTTCCAACTACTTCACCTCGAGGAACCGCTGAATATATTTAGGACAAAGTCCAGGTTTCTTAAACCTAGAGCTAGGACGCTTTTCAATGTAATGCAACACTGGTTGACCTGAGTCCCGTTCTTGAGTCAAATTAGCATTTCCGACACTTTACTTAGAATTTGCGTACTAACTAACTGAATCATACTTACCCATCACAACCACTTTCGTCAGGTGATGCCCTCTTCTCTTGCATTTTAGGACTGGCAGATTGCGGAAGTGGTCTTTTTGTTCTATCATCCCTCTGTCGTCCCTGAGTACGATAGCCTGAAAACGATGTCCATTTCCGCTGAGGTAGACGGCCATTTTTTAGTACTGCCCTCTTTGCCTACGCCTTCTTTTCTGCAACACATCTGCTTTGTTCTTCCTAGCTTTCCGGTTGGTTGACTGAAGTTGTGAAGCTGCTGCCAACTGACATTGAGGCACAACTTATCCCTGAAGATCAAATAAAACTTTGTATGAGCAGCCGAGGTCCTATTCCACGGCATAATTTCCTACCCAGGTAAGCTCTTTGTTCTTGCGTACTTGACCAATGTATGTACATGTGGCGGCATTGAATTTTCGTCTCCAAATGCGTCTTATTTTCAGTCAGTATCAGTCAATATCTTTGGAGTAAATGACACAAGCCCTCCAAATCTCCATTGAAACGATACTGGAATGCATAGAATGCAGTGAATACGCAAAATTGTTACAGGTCGCTTCGTTATGCAGAAAAGTATGAAAATGTTTAAAAAAACATAAGTGGTTGAAAAAGTGAGACGTTTGCGAAATAGCAGCGTACAACACGTTCAACCATGAAATGTTCACCGGGGCAACTTTAATGTAAACATAAGGTCTGTTGAAATCAAGTAAGTAGTATATGTTTCTGTTAGGAAAGGATTCCATGTTTGGGATGGCCTTTAAGGGGTGATTATCCAGACGTCTCTTGAACACGCTCACAGTTGGGGAATCCCCGACAGACGCTGACGAAGAGTTCCACTGTCGAACGACTCTTTGCGGGAAGAAGGATGAACGTTAGTTTATGTGGCTTAGCTCCTTCTTCAACTGGCCATCATGCCTTCTGAGGTTCCTTGTTGGAGCCGTTGGAAAGAGCTCCTCCCACTGGACATCCTGATCAGTTACTAAGGGTAATTGATCTGGAGTGTCTCTTCCGCTCCCGCATCTCTCTTCCATCGGATGTTCTTTTTAATCCGGCTTTTCTCAGCGGATAGGCGTAGTAGCTGGGTTGGTCAGTCTTCGCATATTTTGCCCAATTTATTTTACTGTTTCTACTGGCTCAGTTATGGAAAATAATGCAGCCTTTATAGGATTCCAATCGAGGACAGCAGCGAGCAGCGCTTTAGCTAATTGAGCTACCAGGCCCTAATCAGGAGCCTTGCACGTAATCACATCTTTACGTTTCTACGTCGTGCTTACTTTCAGTAAACGATCCCACCCATCTTCTCTTTTCTAGCTCTCTGCTAACCCTTATGTACTATCTACTCGGCGATTACCACATGAAAAACAACAATTTTGAGTAAGTAGTTTTTTTAAATTCTTTATTTCGTTTGTTCCGCCTCCCTGAATGCAATGCCTGTAGCCCTTAAATAGACTGATTTATACGGAGAACAGAAAATAAAAAGCTGAATGCAATTCGTCTGCAGCTTTAGCATTTTTCGCTATATACCATTTTTTAAACCTAGTTTTATTTCAGAATATAAATTGGCGAACAAAACTTTGTTTGCGATAAATTTACATCAAGCCTGTACATTTATGTTGTGATTAACTAAGTAACTTATGCGGGTTGATGGAAAAATTAGTGTGGTTGTCAGGGTAGGTGGGGGAGGGGGGGTAATTGGGGTTAAATATCCGATCAACGTTAGGGGGAACTGGTAGCCGAGGGAGGTGATAAGCAGCGGGCTGTTGAATTAGCGACTTTCGGCCATGGTAACTGCGGCGCCATTACGAAGTTCTTATGGGCGCACAGGACCGGTGGGCGTAGCCTGGTGGCGGCCGCTTTTGCTGTAGCCAGCAGTTAAGATATCCGCAGTCATTTCGTTAGAGACAGCATATTCATTGGCATTTCTGTTGAAATAAAATATGAATTTGTATTATCAAGTTTAAGCTTGATAATCTTTCAAAACCTGACTACTAATCACCTGAAGCATGCACACTTCTGAATAATTTTTTCAAGTCCTCTGTTGCCAAAATACCCTGTTATATCGTAAAACCAAGTCAACATCTGCCCTCATCTGCATGCCTCAAAACCACTTCTTAAGCCAATTTAATATTGTCTTTAGCCGGAAATTTTTGCTCTTTTTGAACGTTTAACCGTCAGGTTTTACAGAAAATATTCGTTACACACAAAGGTAGCTAACGCCCACATATGACAGGCAGCTTTGTATTAAACTCCGGGACAGAATTTAATCCCGTGTTCTATGCATAATTCCAACCCTCCTCTTTCCTCGAATTTAGCATAAGACCATTCCATGTAGACATGGCAAAACTTAGTCCAATTTCGCTGGAAAGTGCATCCTTTGTTTGGGCAGGACTATGCTCATTCATAGTTTTTATTCGTCGCATGACGAGATTTAACATATACTGTGCCGCTTTTAAGATCGGATGTCATGTAAGCCTACCATGTGACAAGCAGTCTTCATATCTGCACGTATATGGCATAAGGCTGACCCCTGAGTCGTCATCACTGCTATTGAACGACGGCCAAAGCTGTTTAGAAGGTTAATGAATCGTCTTTTGCACATTACTTACACACTTATGTAATTACCTCTATATCACTTTACATGGGAGATGTCGAGAAAAATATCTAGCGGTCTCAGATAAACTTTTAAAGGCAGACTGCTGGTTACTTTGCACCCGTTCCCCGACATTCTTCGGCGTAGTTAAGAGGCACCTTAGTTTTTTTTAAAGTAGGATGGTCTTCCTTACCGATGCAAATCGCATTACGCCAGGTAAATGAACAAAAGGGAAATGAGAACGCTGTTCTAGATTTTGCAAGGCTATTTTTTCAGTAAAAACCCTTTTTCTGGTTATCCTGGGTCTCATTCAGATATTGTAACAGACGCCAGCAGCACTTGACTTTTGCGTGTTTGCCTCTCCTTTCTCACTAGTCAGGGGAATTACATCGCACATCCTGAGAAGAACTAGTTAACGTTCAGTCGGGATTTGCCTTGTATCTTAAAAAAAACAGCACAACTTCTAATCATCACAGTTTCCATGTTCACCCTTGCATTACTCACTTCTGGGGTCTGTTGTAATTTTATGAAACTTTGCCACGGCCTACCCAAATTTAGAGGACAAAACAAAACGTCTGAGTAACTTTTTTGCTGCTGAATTTTACTTCTAATTGCGGTTGTATTGCATCTACATTTGGAGGCTTAGCTCTTGCTACTTACTGCTAGGACTTCCTTAAGCAGCTAAGGTAACTTAATCCTTTACGGGCTCATTCTCTCAAACTTAAATACTAAAGCAGAATGCTCACAATGCTTGAATTCGTGTTACATCTTTGCAACCAGTCTTGTATGTAAACGTTTGGAATGAGATTTCGGAGATTTCAACCAAATACCCGGATCGATTATGCTGTTTTGCATATTCAACTAATATGCCGCTTTTGTGTGGTTATTGGAGATCCTATGCTTGAAACTAATCAAGATGCAGTTGGCGACCGTGCGCATTTAAATATCCATCTGTTTTTATTTTGGGGACTTCTGTTCAGAGATCATGTTAGTGCTCACCGGACTGAGTTTATAGGTTCGCTGACGTTTTGGGGAGCTGGGCCGCCTCTCCTTTGACGCAGAATATTGTACCATTACCTATGATTAAGGATTCCCGACGGAATCCGAGACCTCAGGACAATAATACTCTTGGTCCAGTGGTCGTATCTCCTTCTTCTAAAGCTTAAGCTGCCGTTATCGATCAGCGATAGAAAGTTGTGGCTGCACCCATCGGCCGTGGGTTGATCGATTTTTCCTTGGAATTTCCGGATTTCTTTCTTTTGCAGACTGCTGTTCGTTTCTCCTCTTACCTTACCAATTTGCGCCGGCCACTATATTTATTTTGATCCTTAAGCGTGCTTGTCCCTCCTTCCTTTCTTTCCAGTATATTTTTTTAACCATGGTACTACTACTACTACTACTACTACCACTACTACTAGCACTAGTAGTCTTAGTAATCACGCTTTGTGGTGTGGGGTTTAATTCCTCGCATATCGTTAACCGATCCTTTCTGACCTAGGTTAGCAATCGATTTCTATGTACGGGACTTACGTGTAGAACCCCGGCATGCGGACAGTTGGGCATCTCTCGCGCTGATCTACAGCAGCCAGTTGGAGCAAATTCTGAACATGGTAGGCCTTTACTTTCTTCCCCTTCATATGCACCTTTTTTCGTACAGAGTAAATAGGTATTAGTGGACAGTGCCCTCTTCTTAATTAGTGCCCCTGAGAGGGGTATGGCGAAGTCACTACCTCCTTCTAATGGTATGCAGCACACATACCTGACTCTATTTCAAACTTATGCTTGTGGATATTTTGAACAAATGTAAAAAATGTAAATTTAAGGAAGACACCAGAGTCACTGCCGCTCTTGTTAGTATTTCGACTTTGGGCGGCTCCTTATGGCATGAGATTGTTGAACCGTCTGCTCTAACTTACTGCTTTATACCTTTTAGACGGATTTAAGGACTGAACGGGTCTCCTCGCGCTCAGTGTCAAAGTGCCTGCGGTGCTTCGAGGTTGCCATCGAACTGCAACCCAGTTTTGTTACTCTTCTTACTGAACGGGGATGTCTGGCCTATCAACTTCATTCGTATGCTGCGCGTCTCCTCAAAAAGGTCTGTAGTTTTTTCCATCACGAATTCAAATTTAACATTTAGCCTTCATCAAATTTACGTTAATAGAGTGCATTGCCATATTAGGTACGCTGCCTGCTACCGAGTTGCTTTCCTGTGCTTGAAATGAACTGTTGTTAGCTGTTTTCAGATATTGTGAATAGTATTGCCGACAAAGACAAGAGAGAATGGAATGGCTAGTCCTGGCTTTTTAGCCGTCGTCAGCCACTCATGCCCAACCGAGGCTCCAAATCGTGACCTTTTTGAACAGATTCTAACGCGGGCCTCGACTGGTGCATCACTCGGGGCTGGGTATGACTGGCTGACGATAGCTAATAAGCCAGAACTGGCCATTCCAGTCTCTCTTGTCTTTGCCGGCAATGATGTTTGCCTATACTACGAGCTGCTGTGCGACTGCTGTCAGGGCCCGAGAAATGAGGCCCAAATCAGAATAGAAATAGTGAGTTCCGTTAGCGGTCGGTGAACGTTCATCAACTATATTTTGAATTTGCGAAAATTCCCATTGCAAATATCAAAGGATAAATTGGCGAGCATAGGTTTGCTTTCGATAAATTCTCTTCAGGCCTATACATTTATTTGGGAATTACATAAATCAACTATGCTGGTTGGTGGACAGCGCCTGTTGGCTACAGCAGAAGCAGCTGCCACCATCCTACGCAGACAGGGATTGTGCGCTCAAAAGAAGTTTCTAACAGCGCCGCAGTTACGATGGGCGAAGGTCGCCAATCCAACCGCACACGCCTTATTACCTGCATCGGAACCGGGTCCCGAGACGGACAAGTCGCTACTTCAACCGCGCGCACCCCATCACCTGTCTTGGCCGCCCGTCGGCCTAGACACTGACATTTTGACCTCAATTCCCCCCACCCCCACCGACCCTGACAACAACAGTAATTCTTGGTTGGTTTATTTCATTACCATATAAATGTACAGGCGTGGAGAGGATTTGTCAAAATCAAACGTATGTTCGCACTGTGAAGGTTGTTTTTCCCCAAAGAGAGTTGTTATCAACCCAACTTATTCACGTGAGCCCTTCGTAACAGGCTTACTTTCTCCCAGTCGAGTGGACATTTAAAATGTCGAATATCCTGAGAACAGCAAGCAAATTTCGTATTCAGCAGCAAAAAAGTAGTTTAAGTTGATATCTCGTCTCCTGACTGTATATGTGGTGCTCTGTACTCTATCTAGACGATTCTTCATCCGCAGGATGCCATTATTGACTTTCTGACTCACTCGTTGGTACGCCATGACTCTGTGTGCCGCCCCGGCAATCAATCGTCAATCCATTTATTTGACTCCTGTTTTGGCTTGGCTTGATGCTGTGATGACTGCTGACACACCCTCTCGCCGATGTCCAGATGCCCTGCGTCTAGGTTTTGTTACCTTTCTCGCCCACCCATCTCAGACAACGGCTCAGCTAATTGTCCCTCGTCTTCTGTCGGCATTAAGGTCTAAAGAACAAACTTGGACTTTTAGGGTGATGTGTTCTTGTCTGTCTAAAGCTCTTCGCAGAGTTTGAACCGCCTTGTAG